CCTCTGCCCCTCCCTCTGCTCGCACACACTCTCTTTCCCTTCCTCTCCCTCTGCCCCTTCCCCCGACTCACGCTGTAATAAATAAATCTTAAAAACCACCTAAATATCCGTGTAGCCCCCATCACCAAAATGCTTAAGTACTGTCACCACACACAGCTGCCCTATAGACACCTTTATGGCTGCACCTAACCCCAGAGAACACGAAGCTGCATCTCATGAATGCCATGTAAGTGGGATCATTCTGCAGTCACCCTTCAACGACTGTCTGAGCCTAATTCCCTAGAGTCGCCAGGCTGTTGTGTATATCAGCAGTTCATTCCTTTGTATTTCTGAGTAGAACCGTGTTGTTGAATTTCCACATTTGAAGCGTTCCTTGTTCTCTGCTGATTTTCAGTTTGATTCCATTTGCCAGAGAACATACTCTGTATGATTTCAACCCTTTACATTGACTAAGGCTGTTTTATGGCCCAGGATATGGTCTATCCTGGAATATGTTCCATGGGCACTGGAAAACAATGTGTATTCTGCTATTGTTGGGTGGAGTGTTTCACAAATGTCCATTAATCCTGTCGGTTGATGGTGGTGTTCTTCTATATCCTTGCTGAGTGTCTGTCTAGTAATTCTAGCAATTGCTGAGAATGGGTACGGAAGTCCTCATATGAAGTCTTCTGTACACTTTGAACGTCTGTCATTTGGTGCATGTGTCCTTGGGATGGCTAGATCTTCCTGGTTCATTGATCACTTCGTCATTAGGCAATGTCCCTCTTTTTTCCAAGAAATTTTCTTTGCTCTGAGGTCTACTTTGGCTGATATTACTATAATCTGTTTTAAAAATTGTTTACATGATATATCCTCTCCCATCCTTTTACTTTCAATCCACCCATGTCATTGTGGCCGAAGTGAGTTTTAGCATATATTAGACAACGTAGTGTCAGGTCGTAGTTTTTCTTCACTCTGCCAATCTCGGTCTTCTAACTGGTGTGTTTACACTACTTACATTTAAAGTGATCGACAGGGGCGCCTGGGTGGCTCAGTCGTTAAGCGTCTTCCTTCAGCTCAGGTCATGATCCCAGGGTCCTGGGATCGAGCCCCGCATCGGGCTCCCTGCCCTGCAGGAAGCCTGCTTCTCCTTCTCTCCCACTCCCCCTGCTTGTGTTCCCTCTCTCGCTGTGTGTTAAAAAATAATAAAAATAAATAAATAAAGTGATTGACAGATTAGGGTTTCCATCTACTATTTCATTATGTGTGTTTTTTCTCTCTCTTGTGCCCCGTGAGATCTTTCAAGAGGCCTTTGGAATTCCACTGTTTTTGCTTGTACTGCTGTGTTTAGTTTCCTAGTGGCTTCTCTAGACATCACCACATACTTGTGCACTTGGGGAAGTTGTGCCACATCGCGTGCGGTATAGAAAACTTACTGCCACTTGCATCCCTTCACTATTCCCGTTTCTCAAATATAATTAACATAAATATTTCCTCCCCACATACACTGAGCATGATATCAGTGTTATTACTTTTGCTTCAACCATCAGCTACAATTAAAGAAACTTATGAAGTGAAAGGTGGTCAGTCATGTTTACTGCCATGTTCACCCAGTCTACTGTTCTTCATTTGCTGAGGGTCCCTGCCTTCTTGTTACAACTTCCTTCCATTTTGGAGAGCTTCCTTTAATCATTCACCAAGCGCAAGCCTCCTAGCAACACATTCTATTTGTCAGCCTCTGTCTGAAAATATCTTTATTCCTCCCTCATTCTTGAGGATGATTCCGTTGGTGGGATTCACTTCTCTTTCAACACTTGAACGTGTCACTTCCTTCCGGCCTCTGCGACTTAGGAGGAGACACCTGCTGTCATCCACGTTGGCGTCCCTCCACAGGTGATGCATTCTCTCTAGCTATGTTTAGCATTTTTTCTTCTGTCTTTAGTTGTCAGAAGTTTAACTATGATGTGTCTGGGTTTTTAGAGGTCTTATCTTATTTAGGGCTTGCTCAGCTTCTTTAATCTGTGGATTTATGTCATTTGCCAAATTTGGGGAGTTTTCAGCCATTCTTTCTTTAAATATCTCTTCAGCCCACATTCTTCCTCCTCTTGTTCTAGAACCCTGGTGATACAAATCACTGCCCTGCAGGTCTCTCAGCTTTTTCTTCCGTCTGGTCCATTTGATCTGTCACTTAGATGCAGTAAACACTATTGTTTTACCTTCAAGTTCCCTGAGTCTATCCCCTTGTCTCCCCTCTGCTGTTGTGTCCATCCAAAGGTACAGTGATCACTGTGTCCACTGATGGACACAATACTAGTTTGGCTGTTATAATTTTAAGTTCTATGATTTCCATCCAGCTTCTTTTCATAGTTTTTACTTCTTTGCTGAGACTTTTTTTTTTCATTTGTTTCAACAGACCTCATATATTTTTTTAATATTTATTTATTTTACAAAGAGTGAGAGAGAGAAAGAGTGCATGTGCACGAGAGAGAGGAGGGGAAGGGCAGAGGGAGATAATCCTCCAGCAGACTCCTGGCTGAGCCCAGACCCCAACTGGGGTTCAGTCCCACAACCCGTGAGATCATGACCTGAGCCAAAGCAAGAGTCAGTGCTCAACCAACTGAGACACCCAGGCACCCCAAGACTTAATAAATGATTTTTAAAAGCGTTTCTATGACTGCTTTACAATCCTTGTCAGATAATTCTAACACCTGATCTATCTGGGATTTATGTCAGTTAATTGTCTTTTCAGCAAAATAGTGGTTTCCGTGGCTCCTGATAGGACAAATGATTTTTGATCGTATCCTGAGCATTTCGCGTATCATGTCAGAAGACTTCAGGCGTTACTGAAATTTACTGTTTTAACAGAAGATTGCCCTGTTTAGGTCTAGCATATAGATTCTGGCCTACTTTTGTGGCTCATGGTGCCAGTGAGTTTCATTTCACAGCCCTGGCAATGCCCTCTTGGTCTGCTTTCTTCTTCTGGCTGTTGGGGGAGCGGGGCAGCACCTGCTGGTCCTGGGTCTCCCTGTGCCAGCAGGTGGAAAGCTGGAAGATACTAGGCTGCATGGACTCTGCCCCTGCATAGGAGACTGTCCGTCAGCACTACAAGAGTCGGTGGGCCTGTGGGGCTGTGATGCTGGTGCATACTGTGGGCTGGAAGTGTGGCTCCCCACTAGGTCTCTGCTGGGTCTCCCCTTTCCCAAACCCTGTGGCCACAAAGACGTGGCTTTTCTTGCAGTTTTCTTGCCTGTGCTCTGACTTTGTTAAATTAACATTTGTTAGATGGAGCCTGGGGTGTCAACAACGACTGTGTGGGGAAGCGGAAGAGAGAAGCTTATGACTCACAGCTCCTGAAGGTGCATGGCACAGCACGTGGGGAGATCAAGGCCGGGTGTAGGCAGAGAGAGGGTCTGTGGATAGAGTGCTTTGGGGTTTCTGGGCAAAGGCCGGACTGGTCAATTCAAATCAAAAAGAGCGGGGCTTTGGTAAGCTTTGCAGGGGCTTTATGTAAGAGGCGCACAGGGGTGGGCCCTGGGCAGCAGGGGGACATGCTTACCACAAGGGCTATAGGAGAGTCACATCAGGAACTTCACTAACTGTAACTCTGCAGGCTTTACCTAGGGCATGCGCTCACGGCAGGGACTGGTGTTGGTCCAAAGCCCTGCAGGCCTCCAGGCTACGCTCCATGGACGTCGAGGCAGCAACATCACAGGCTACTTTAATGACACTCCCAGGGGGCTGCAGGCAGTTCCGGCTTGGGTTGCAGACCTCTCCGGCACCTGTTCTGGGAACCTGTAAGAGAGAACAGGAAAACCCAGGGAACCCACTGTGCTGCCACCACCCAGTCCTGAGGACTGCAGCCAGCCAGTCTCCCTGCAGCAATCAGGGCCCCTTGCCCATCCACGGCTGAATTACTGGCAAGGTACTCAGTGGTACCTGGAGGAAGGAGCAAGGAGCAGTGAGCCTGCACCACCTCTTCCTGGGGCAGGAAGCCTCCCCGTGTTGCATGTTTGCTGTTCCCCACCTTGAGCAGAACCTCAGCCTTCAAAGAGCCTCAAGCCCTTCTTTCCACCTCCTCTTCCATGGCAGCCAAAGTAGTCTGGTAAACACGCAAACCTGATGGGGCCCACTTTCCCACCCCAGAAACCGTCCTCCGGTCCCTGTTAATTTAACAGAACGGCCCCGGTGGCCGGACCCAGCCGCCTCCCTGCTCCCATCCCTGCTCCCGCCACGAAGAGCTTCTCTTCGCCTCCTGGAACAGCATCAGGACGCTCCCGGTGTCAGTTCCCGGGGCAGACCGGGTGCTGATTTCCTCCGTCTGGAGGCCGGAAGTCGGAGATCAAGGCGTCGCGGGGCTGGGGCCTCCGGGGGCTGCAAAGGGCAGTCCGCTCCAGGCCGCCCTCCCCAGTCTGCAGACCGTCATCCGCGCTCATGGCGTCTGTGTGCTGCGCGCCGCTCCAGAGCCCCCCTTTTAGAAGGGCACAGTCACATTGGCCTAGGGCCCCCCAATAACCTATTTCTAACTCGATGAGCCCTGTAAGGGCCCTATCTCCAAATAAGGTCACGTTCTGAAGCCCTGGGGATTGGGATTCCGATACAGGAACTTTGCGGGACACAATTCAATGCAGCACCCCCACCCCAGGGCCTTCGCCCCTGCCGGTCATCCCCCTACAACTCTCCCCGCACCGCCTTCGCGGAGTGAACTATCACCAACCCTTGTCAGTCACCTGTGTTGGCGTTTCACGGGCAAGCCTCACCTGTCTACACCAAATTCCTCTGCCATCCACTTCTCAGGACCATGCACTTCAGACTTGTGCCTCCTGTCCCTAGACTGAGCCCTCAGCCCGTAGGGACCCCGGTGCTTCCGGCTCCCCGCCTCCAACCCGCCCCGGAAGTGTCCTGTCCGCGCCCGGAGCTGCCAATAAAGTTGTGTTCGGAGCCAACCGGAAGACGAGCCGCAATCCGCACCGCGGCCGTCGTGAAAGCGCCGGTCTCCCCTGGCGACGGGCAACGCGCGGAAGATGGCGGCACTGATGGCGGCGGAGGCCGCGGCGCCCCCGGGCCCGACCGAGGCGACCGAGACGTCTGAGACGGCCGAGGCGGCGGAGCTGAGCCGCGCCCTAAGCCGCCTGCTGCCCGGGCTGGAGACCGACAGCAAAGTGGGCCGGCGGCGCGCGCTCGAGGCGCTGCAGCGCGCGCTGGAGGCAGCGTGGCTCGAGGCGCCCGACGGCGACCCTGCCGCCGCCGCCGCCTTCCAGGGCCCGTGGGCGCGCCTGCTGCTGCCGCGCCTGCTCTACTGCCTGGCTGACCCGGCCGAAGGCTGCCGCGCGCTGGCCGCGCACCTCCTGGACCTCGGCCTGCGGCGCGCCGCGCGGCCCCGCGACGCCCTGCCGCGCCTGCTGCCCGCGCTTGCCGCGCGCCTGGCGGGCCCCGAGTCCGCGCGCGGCCGGCCGCCGGAGGCCTGCGAGGAGCTGCGCCTGGCGCTCGTGCAGCTGCTCAGCCTGGCGGTGCGCCTGGGCGGCCCCGCGCTCGCGCCCCACCTGGACGACGCGCTGCGCGTGCTGCGCCGCACACTGCTCGACCCCTTCGCCGCCGTGCGCCGCGAGAGCTGCGAGTGCGCCGCGGGCCTGGCGCGCGCTACGCCAGGTGCTCGCCTCTCGCCGGGGTCGGGAATGGGGGCGCGGGGAGGTGGAGGCGCGGCCGCCAGCGGTGGGCCCCTCCCGGACCCCGGAAGCAGCCGCCGCTCTTTGAGATCCGGTGGTTCTCAAAATGCAGATTCGGGGAAACCACCGCTGAAACTGCTAAAAGGGCCTGGGATGCGGTGCGTTTCGATAACTGCCCCGCGCCGGGGTGACTAATCCAGGCGGTTGTGGTTGTAGGCTTTGAGAAACACCGCTGCAGTATTTAACTTCTCATCCCCTTTTCTCGACAGAGTCTACCTGTCTTTCCTCCTTGGGTTGGACGGCTGTCTTAAATGGAGAGAGGCCGCTTCTCTCCTGTTTTCCTTTAATCCATTTCCATGATTTAAAAAACTCTAATCTGATCAGGCCAGTCCCTTTTTCTAAGTAGCCATTTCTGCAGGATCTTGCCCCGCTTACCTCTCCTTGCTGCCTCAGTCTGGGATGTGCAGTGGTAGGAGGCCTCTCCTTAGTCCCATTGGGAAGGCTTCCTGTAGGACCGAACATTTAAGTTGAAGATCAGTGATCGGTTGTCAGGAGGAAACTACTTTTGAGAAATAAGCTTGGCAGATCTGAGGAGCAAAAAGGAGGTCAAGGCGGCTGGAGGGAAGGAGGGCGGGCAGTGGGGAGCTGCTGGGGTTTTGAAATTATTAAACGCAGGGTGGGTGGAGGGTGTGGAGAAGGGGCTCGAGAGGCGTAGATTCAGATTTTTAAAAGATCGCTCTGGTGCTCATGGAGAATTGATTACCAAGATGGCAAGAAGAAATGAGGTCAGTTGGGGTCATAATTAATCCATATTTAGATGATGGTTAGGTTGGACTTGAGTAGGGGTGAACAGTCTGCTAATAGAGATGGAGGAAAATGGATTCATGTTGATCATGGAGCTGGCAGGATTTCCTGTTGAATTGGGTGAGGGATGAGGGAGAAGGAGGTTTTGGTGGACAGGAGACAAAGGAAGAACAGGGATTCCTTTTCGCCCTTCCCATTAGGGACTGTCGAGATTTCCATTGTGAATCATAAGTTTGGGTTCAAATACTGCAGAATTCTAGTAGAACTGGGGGTGAGGCTTGGGCTGGACACAGCCATTGGGAATTACAAGCTTTTAACACATTTCTCATTGACCCCCCCCCCCCACTTCACTCCCTGGTCTGTGCATCAGCCAGATTGACTGCTTCTCATGCTCTCCAGCCTTTGCATGTTCCCTCACTAGATTTTAAGTTTGGGAAGTGTAGGACAGTGTGCCTTGCACATAGCAAGGTACCTGCGCACAACCCACGTACCCGCCAATCGATTGAAGGACTGTTGCCTCTGCTTGAAGCATCTCCCTTCTCAAAACCATCTCCCTGCTCTGCCCTCTCTTGGTGAGGGGCCTCTCTTGGATCCCCATCACACTGGGAAGTAGTAGATTGATATCCTGCCTTGATCTGAGGACCTCAGGGTTAAAGAAGTCAACCAAAGCATCTCTGAAATAGCCATCTTTTGTATGGGTCTCAAGCAGCGGCAGAACTGAGGTTAGAACTCCAAGACCAGGACTATCAGAGACATTCTGGTTCCGACTTTCTGAGAGGCCCTTAAAATTGGAAGTGGAATGGCTTTATCCAAAGCAATGTTGGCCCTGCTGTCTACGGTAGTGCCGGATGTCTGGCTTCAGGCACACCCGATGTGGGCACTTTAACAGTGTCCTCTAGACTTGATTTCTCTGCTTTGGTCAGCATCCCTCTCAGGCACCCAGTGCCACTGTCATCACCTTCAGACTCTCTCTCACAGCTTCTGCCTCCAGCTGAGATGGGGTCAAGCCCCCAGCCTTTTCCCTTTGGTGCTGTTTGGGTCCCATGCCTGTCCTGTGCCTCTCCCAGTGCCAGGGGTACAAACCTGTACTAGGCAGGCCTGAGCCGAGTGCCCTGCCTGCAGCAGGGACCTGGGTGGGGAGAGGAAGTTCCAAGGCACAGGTGGCCTATCCTCTTGGGATCCCAGGGTGCTGGGCTGGGCCAAGGACCCCAGGGAGCAAGCCTGGTAACTGGTGTCCTCCTCTATCTCACAGACCACTTCCACATGCAGTCGGAGTCCTTGATCGGCCCCCTGATGCAGAGCATCTCCCACCAGCACTGGAAGGTGCGGGTGGCTGTCATTGAGGCCACGGGCACCGTGATCCAGTTCGGCAGCGGCAAGTCGGTAGACGATGTGCTTCCTCACTTTGCTCAGAGGCTCTTTGACGATGTCCCCCAGGTAACAAGAGTTTCTCCTCTGGGTGGTCCCTCCTCTTCACCAAAAGCATGCTATTGGTAACTCACTCCTTTTTCTTTTTTAAACTGTTAACCTATTACACCAAACGTCTTTTATCGTTTATCTTTATTTCAGTCACAAGGTGTTCTTAGTTCATGTCTCTGAGAAACTGGAGAGAGTTGAATTGTTTTAATATATTCGTTATTCTTAATTGTGAGGAATATGGAAGAGGACTATTTCCTCTTTGGAAAACAGTCTAACTGTGTATACAGCACAGTTTCAGAGGCATCTTTAATATGCCGATCCATCAAGGCAGATTTACCTGACAAGCCACAGTGGTTGGGGTACCCAACCTGGGAGGGGAAGGATGGATCAGGGTAATCACTCTGTCGGGCCTTGGGACCCGCAGAGAGGCAGAGAAGGATCAGAATACTGGCTTTTGTGTTGGCAGAAGTCAGCTTAGAGGCTGTGTCATGGATCTGAGGCCACATGTACTTATAGACCTTCACAAACCCCGACAACGAGGAGCAGAGCGAAGGCCCCAGTGGGCAGGCCCCCTCCCTGGGGGAGGAGACAAGTGAAGCGGGAGCGTGTGCTTCTGGCCACGTGGGGTGGGAGGAGTAGTGGTAGTTGGCAGAAGTCCTCCGGAGTGCTTATAAAGTGCTCCTGCCTCATGGCCGGTGGGATATGAAGTGTCCTGAGGTGGCCAAGGACTGAAAAGTTGGTGGTGTGGTGGCGTGGCCTCTGCTGTCTTCTACCATCTAGAAGTGTTGGCTACCTGCATGAAGCACGTGTGTGCCTGCCTGTCCTGCTGTCCACACACCATCTCATTTCATCCTTCACATCAGCGGCTTGCACGTCCCCTGCAGTTGGGAGGTTATGTTACCTGCTCAAGGTTGCCCAGCTGGGGCTAGCCTCTGGGCCCAGGTCTGGTGACACCAGAGACTGTTCTCTGGCACTGTCCAGCTTCCCAACCACAGGCACACTTGAGTTTTCTTCCAAGGTACTTTGGTTTTTTTATTTTTATTTTTTAAAGATTTATTTATTTATTTTAGAGAGCGTGAGTGGGAGGGGCAGAGTGGAGGAGAGAATCTTAAGCAGGCTCTGTACTCTAAGCAGACTCTGTGCTGAGCACAGAGCCTGACACGGGGCTTGATCTCATGCCCCTGAGATCACAATCTGAGCCGAAACCAAGAGTTGGACACTTAACTGATTGTGCCACCCAGGCGCCCCTTGTTTTATTGTTTTAAATAGCTTTATTGAGCCACAACTCACATACTATGTAATTCATTCATTTAAATGTTCAATGTTTTTGATACATTACATTATATTTTTTTAAAGATTTTATTTATTTGACAGAGAGATACCCAGCAAGAGAGGGAACACAAGCAAGGGGAGTGGGAGAGGGAGAAGCAGGCTTCCTGCGGAGCAGGGAGCCTGATGCGGGGCTCGATCCCAGGACCCTGGGATCATGACCTGAGCCGAAGGCAGGCGTACAACGACTGAGCCACCCAGGTGCCCCAACATTGCATTTTCGAAGTATTTGGTAAAAGATACATAACATAAAATTTGCCATTTCAACCATTTTTGAGATAGAGTTCAATGCATTAAGTACATTCACAACATAGTGCGACCATTGCCACCAACCAAAATTTCTTACCATCCCAAGCAGAATTGAGCAGTGACTCCCCATTTCTGCCTGCCCGCCACTTCTAATAGCCTCTTTCTGCGTGACTGCATCTACTGAGGATGCTTCACAGAAGCAGAATCCATAAGTGACTGTTGTGACAGACCTCGTCCCCTGAGTGTGATGTTTGAGGCTCACCCGTGCTGGAGCACGCAGCAGTGCTCCCTTCCTTTCTAAGGCAGAGTGGTACGCATGGTGTGGATGGGCCGTATTTGGTGTGCCCCTTCATCCATGAATGGACACCTGCATTGTTGCCACCTCTCGGCTGCTGTGAATAGTGCTATTCGAACATGAAGGTGCAAGTCTCTGAGGCCAGCGTCCCTTCTTTTGGGCGTGGGGTGTAGACCAAGGAATAGGATTGCTGGGCCCGTAGCAGCTCTACCATTAGCTTATTGAAGAGTCACCAAACCATTCTCCACAGTGACTGGATCGTCTTAAATGCCCAGCAACAATGTATAAGGGCTTCAGTTCCTCTAGATTCTCCTAACACTTATTTTCTGGTTTTTGTTAATTTATAGCCATCCTAATGGGTGTGAAATGGTGTCTCATTGTGGTTTTGACTTCTATTTACCTCATGATTTGTGATGTTTAGCATATTTTCATGTGCTTATTGCCAGATTGTCTACTTACATGCCATAAGATTCAACTCGTGGGGCTCATGATGTGGTTTTGCCTGCGGGCACGTTGTGCACATGTGGATTGGAAGGGTCGCGATACCTATTCATCCACGGAAGGTTTAGAGTTGCTTAGCACCTGCTCTGGGAGTCCTGAAGAGGCAGAGGGGCCAGAGGGAGTGGTCTTGGCTCCTCTTCAGGACTGGGCGTGCCTCCCAGCCCTTGGGGCTTTAGGGGCCGGGACAGAAGGCCCCACTCAGGTGCGTGTCTGTGATGTCTTGCACCAGGGTCCAGGTGTGGCGTCCTGGTGACGTCCCAGGATGTCTGCTTCGCCTTGCTTGCCAGGGTTCATCCTCAGCGTGTCTCCCTGATTTGTAACAAGGGTATAGGCAGAGACGAAGGGACCCTCCTCCACCCAAGAACAGGTCTGTCCGTTCATGTCAGGGCCAGCTGGGTGGGTCAGCACGTCGCAGCATGGGAGTTGGGGACCCAGAGCAGAACTGGGCTCTTCCAAGGGAGGAGAAGGCAGGGGGGTAGGTCAGTGCTCATGAGAGACCTGGCTGCAGGAAGTGAGGCCCAGAATGGATTCCAGTGAAAAATAATAGCACTGCCCTGACTGGGACAGTGTCTCAGCTTGCTTGAGACAGAGCAGGGGCAGTGAAGACAGTGGCTTCCTTGTATCGCAGATGAAATGGTTTTTCTCAAATTAGTGTAGAAACTACATACTGACAGCTTTCTATAAACAGCATTACTGTGTATCAACCAGGAGCTTCCTGTAAATAGCTTAGTTATGTCAAAGCTCCCTGTAGACAGCATAACTGTGTATCAATGGGTCCCTGTAGACAGCATAACTGTGTATCGATGGGTCCCTGTAAATAGTGTAAGTATCGATAGCTCCCTGTAAATAGTATAACTGTATATCGATAGGTCCCTGTAGACAACATAACCGTGTATCGATAGGTCCCTGTAAACAGCGTAACTGTGTATTGATGCGTCCCTGTAAATAGTATAATTGTGTATCCATAGGTCCCTGTAAATAGTCTTAAATATTGATAGGCACTTGTAAATAGTATAAATGTGTATCAATAGCTGTCTGTAAATAGTACAACTTTGTATCTATAGCTCCCTGTAGACAGCATAACTGTATCGATGGGTCACTGTAAATAGTGTATTGATAGGTTCCTATAAATAGTATAACTTTGTATCGATAGCTCCCTGTTAAAGTGTAACTGTGTATCACTGAGTTCCTGTAAATAGTATAAGTGTGTTTCGATAGCTTCCTATAAACAGTATAACTTTGTATCGATAGCTCCCTATAAACAGTGTAACTGTGTATTGATGGGTCCCTGTAAACAGTGTAACTGAATCACTGGGTCCCTGTAAATAGTATAATTCTGTATGGATAGGTCCCTGTAAATAGTATAACTCTGTATTGATAGCTCCCTGTAAATAGTATAATTTTGTATCAGTAGTTCCCTGTAAATAGCTCTGTGTATATAACTGCGGAATAGCTTCTATCTGTTGAGCTTAAAACATGAGTGTTTGGTGCCCTAACCCTAGGTGGTAAGAGTTTGCATTTCCACAGAAGACGGGGGAAGTCTTCAGCTGATTTCTTTCTCTTTGGTGCCGCCAAAGACAACAGTATGTTTCTTTGGTGACAGGTTTTCCCAATATTTGGGGCTGCAACTATTTCTTGTTACTTGATTTTCCAAAACAAGTGCACTCCATTGTTAAAACTATTTTTATTTCCACTTCTTCCCAGTGGTATTTGGTTTGCTCTATACAATTTCCAGGGCTGATTGAGGTAGAATTTCAAATCCAGCCCGGCTGCCACCCACCACCTTTCACGCTGATGCTGTGTGACCACAAAGTTCCTTACCATAAGTGGCCAGGGAAGTCATGCGCCACCTTCCTGTGTCTGCGTCAGCTCTCGGCCCCTCGTGGTCCTGGGCTCTGTGGATATTTGCTGGGACTTCAGGGGCTGGGCCACTTGCAGCCCAGGGCTGTGTCAGGATCCCACCACGCTCTGTGAAGAAGGTGAGGTCCTCACTGCTTTGTAACTTGTAGAAACATCCAGCAACTCCTGTGCCTACTCAGTGCCAGGTCCCTGAGCTACATGGTGAGTGGCCACTTGGAAGTAACTTCCTCTAAGTGCTTTGCCTGAATTGACCCATTTGGTCTGTGTGGTCCTTCCATGCAGAGGAGACTGTGATGACCTCCATCTCACAGATGGGGAAGCAGGGCAGGAGACACAGAGCTCACCTAGGGGACATGGGGGCACAGAACATGGGCAGTGTAGCTCCTGGAATTCTCCCTCTGGAGCTCTGTCACCTCGGGTCTCCAGGACATGTCTGAGGACATGGAAAGGGGGTGTCCCAGCAAAGCGGGCTAAGGTAGCTTCCCCAGAAAGTCCCACCCCATCCTCCTGCATGCACCATTCAAGTGGAAGAGTACCAGCTAGGGTTATGTCATGATCCATTGTCATATGTGTCCGTGACAGCCCTCGGTTGCCCCGGGGTCACCCTTACCTTCAGGAACCTCTCTGCATTATTGCAGGTGATAATGTTTCAGTTAGAAGCTGGAACTGTGTGTGCTCTTTGTAGTTTGGATAAAACACTTTGACCTATTGCTAAAGCACCTAGGATGTGTGACCTGCATGGGTGTCTGCGTGGGAGCCTGCCTGGGAAAGCCAGGCTCAGCAAGCTGGAGCTTGGCTGGCCCCACCTGCCCCACTGCTGGTGGCCCCGCGGGTGTCCAGGCCAGGTCTCAGGCATTTCTGAGCACCTGCCCTCTGCCAGCATCCTGGTGACGCATAAAAATGAGCAGGTCCTGCCCTAGCCCTCGCAGGGGACTGAGTCTCATGAGCTCCAAGGACTTCACTGGTGCTGAGGAATGATCGGTGTAGGGACAGAGGGGTGCTTGCCAGAAGGAGAGTGCTCCCCCATCAGTTCTGGTGACTTTTTAGAGTCTGTGGGATTGGATGTTAAAACTCCAGACCCTGCGGGGTGGAGTCCTGCCTGAGTGAACTTGAGCAGGTATCAGAATCCTTGGGTCCAGTCAGAACATCTTGAAAATGGAAGCCTGTTGCTCTATCAGAGAAGGGTCACACTCTGTGGCTATTTTTGTTAGAACAGGTCTCAGATTTCTACCACGTCGGTAAAAAACAATCCATGTGTGGGTGCAGGGGAACGAGGTGCAGGGTGGCTTTGCTGGTTGTGGTGACCCTCCCCCCGCTTCCCGCTTCCCGCCTTTAGCCCCGTCGTCAGACTGAAGGAAGAGGAGCAACAAAGGACAGCGGCTTGCCCGCCCGCTGCACACCTAGTAAATATCATGGTGAATCTTCTCAGACGGAAAATAAAAATGTCATAGATTCAGTTAAAGCCCCTTGTGCTAATTTTTCCTTAACAGAATTTGGATACTATATATTTGAAAAAAAGTTGGCTTGTTAATAAAATATTGTGTTGATACTACTAAAACTTTTTTATTTTAAAAATGGGGCTTACTTAAAATGATGGAAGGTGCTTAAAATCCAAGGCCTTCGGCATGGGACCAGAGTGGTGTTCTGCAGAGCAACTTTGCATGAGACAGTTATTTGCACTCAGGTGCTGGGCAGAAAGACCCCCTTGCCTCCCCCAGCCCTCAAACGCTAAAGTCTGAAATGCTCGAGCTCAAGGGAGTGAATTTGAAAAAGGTGATTTCTTCCAACGGGCTCTGCCCAGAGCTGCTGTCGAGTCTTGGTGGATGGAATGAAGAGTCGGCTGAGGGGTGCATCATTAGCATCTGCCGAGGGCAGGGTGCAGAAATAGATGGCCACCTGATGAGAACTGGACATTTCTTTCATCCTTGACTGAACAGACTGAGGTGAAACGTTCCAAGTTAAAGGAGAGTGGAAAATTATCTTTCGTGTTCGTGTGTTTCCCCCGGCTCTGTGTGCTGATCTAACATCGTATGCCTACGGGTTCTCCAGCCCAACACCCCGGGATCAGTAAACCTGACTCAAGAAAGTAAGAGTGCATTTCACTTTTTTTTTCTTAATTGATGGATTTCCTGCTTAGTCAAACTGTTACTTGGCAACTCTGTTCAGTGCTGTTTTCCTGAAATGAGAGAAAGGGGTAATTTGTCTCATGATAATGGTGATCGGCAGGTTTCTTGAGGCTGGCAGAAGCCTGTCTGTGTGGCTCAGGAGCTGCTGGGAGGCCAGCCCTCAGGCTCTCCCAGCTCAGAAGGGGAGACGCAAGAAGTCTCCAACCTGCAAAAGAGCCTGGATCTTGGGGGACGTCAGAGTGACTGTCCTGGGTGTGGGGCCCTCCTGTTGCCCCGACACGTGGGTAGGGTGTCATGGGTGAGCGCAGCCGGACGGGTTCCTGTGGGTCCCCACAGGTCCCTGACCCCTCAGCTGCTGAGACCACCTTCGTTAGGAGTCCTCCTGAGTGTCTGGTGCCAGGCTGGGTTGCAGTTGGATTGTGTCCGTCGGGTTTTTGAGTGTCGCCAGCATGTGGTGTTGGCTGAGCTTCAAGTGTGGTGCTGCTTAGTACAGGTACTTTTTCAGTAAGAATGACCCTCAGGGGGCGCCTGGGTGGCTCAGTCGTTAAGCACCTGCCTTCGGCTCAGATCGTGGTCCCAGGGTCCTGGGATTGAGCCCCGCATCGGGCTCCCTGCTCCACGGGAAGCCCGCTTCTCCCTCTCCCACCTCCCCCTGCTTGTGTTCCCTTCTTACTATGTCTCTTTCTGTCAAATAAATAAATTCCTTAAAAAAAAAATAATGACCCTTGGGCCTCTCACAACATTAGCTTTGAAGCACCTTGATTCCTCAGCAACCCCTCGGGGCCCTAGGATCATGCATGAGGACAACATGGAAAGATTATTCTGTGCTAAGTCAGTCCTCGCTGTTGCGGGTGTCCGGTTGTTTCTAGGTACTTGGACCTCTCTAATCGTGCATGTTTTTGTTGAAAGAATAGCTGAGATTCTCTGGGATCTTTAGTTGTGGTTTTGATTGTTAATTACATGCTTGTGTCATTAATAATAACCACCCTTTTATTTCATATTGTAACCTTTTATTTTAAAATAGTTTAGTACAAGAAGTTGCAACAGTAGCAGGAGCCCAGAGGCCCTGCTCCCAGGCTTGTTTGCCTCCCACGGTCTGTGCTGTTTACACTGGCGGGCAGGTGAGTGAGCCAGGTGCCAGGGGCCTCCTGTGTGCAAGCACTGTGCCAGGTGCTTTCCCTGCTCGCCAGAAGCCAGTGGCACGTGTCCTGTTATTCTCACTTTCCAGAAGAGAGAATAAGCTTTGGAGAAGGCAGCAGGGCCAGGGTGCACTCCGCTTATCTAGCTGCCTTGCTGGAGCTGGGCTGAGCAGCCCACCCCAAGTCCAAGTGCCTAAACATGCACCCTAACCTGGTTGCTGCCTGGGGCACACTTCACCTGAAGTCCCTGCGAGTGTTTCCTCTCCCATTGGCAGCCCCAGCCAACAACAGACACACACCACCAGTGGTCGGCCCCCTTGCCCCTGGTGGGACAGCCTTGGTGTGGTGCCATTGTACTCCCGAGCCCCCCAGGATTCAGCCGAGCCACATCTCTGCTTGGCCTCTGCCCCATCCTGCTTCCCTCCCATGATGATTTAGGGTGTCTGGATTCCCACCTCAGGCTCTGCTCTCAGGGAGCTAGACCTTGAACACCTGGTGTGTTTCTAAGCTCGTTTCTTCCCTGTGGTGGACAAAGTGGGCAGAGGCATGCACATCACCTCAGGTCACCAGCAACAGAGCTGGGGGTGCCCTGCTGGCTTCCCCGGGAGGCCCTGGAGCTCCAGGACTGGAGGCCTTGGCGGTTTGGCGCTGCAGGCTGACATTTCCTGGTGGCTTGCCATCTGCTGTTTAAACACCCACGGCGAGAGCGCCCAGCCTGGCCGGGAGGGTCCCACGCAGAAGACTTCGCAGGCGCCCTGCGTTGCCCAGGGTAGCAGTGTGGTCCTGCGCTAGCCAGCAGAGGGTCAGGCCGCAGCCCAGGGATGTGAGCTCTCTCCAGCAAGACGAGGTGGCCCTGACGTTTTCTCCAAGCCCGAGTGTGGACGGCAGAGCTGCTCTGGGACTTCAGGCTGGCGTCTGGTCCCCACGGGTGTGCACAGCGGGCCCAGCGCCACCCCGTGGTTAGCCTCTGCGTTCTTGGTGCCCGGCTGAAGGCTCCCCTTGCCTTTGCGTGTAGGTGCGGCAGGCAGTGACTTGCGTGGTGGGGGGCTGGCTGCTGGACCTGCGGGACCGCTACTCCTTCTTTCACAAGCTCATCCCGCTGTTGCTGAGCAGCCTTGAGGACGACATACCTGAAATTGCGTAAGTGCTGAAATCGCGCTGGTGGTGGCGGTGCTGGGGGGACTGTCGGGCCTTCGGTTTTATGGGGCTCAGAAGCCTTAGCTATCGCAGATGTGGGTCCCTTTGTTTTCTGTATTATCTGTCACTGAGAGCCGTGGTTGTTGCTCTGCTCCCACAGGGTCTCTCCCGGAAGCCCACCTTGTCCCCTTGTTCACAAAGAAGTTTTCCTTGGTTTTTAAATAGCCTTGTGTTTGTAGTGCTTAGGGCACACACGTAGAAATCGGTCATGGTCTCGTGCCATCAGCAAAGGGCTCAGAAGCCCGACGGAATTCCTGGCCCCCGCGGGGAGAGACTCAGCACCACGTCCACGGGCCCCACTGGCTGCACAGGACCTGCCTGCCCTGACCCGTGCATTGTGCTACAGGCTCGCGGCCGCTGGCCTCTGGGAGAAGGTCGGCCTGCAGTGGCAGAGAGAGAATGAGGACGACCTCAAGGACAAGCTCGACTTCTCCACCCCCCCCCCAGCCCGTCACCCCTCACCAGGTGAGTGCGAGGGGAGGGTCTCTGCCTGAGGAGAAAGGTGTGCCCGAGCGGCACGGCGGAGCCGCGTGGAGCCCGGGCTCAGGCAGCACGCCCCAGACAGGCTCTGCAGGCGGGATGAGTAGCCCAGCCCCAGTGCCATTCGAGGCCATGGGCACGCCTCTGGTGCCCTGTCCTCTGGGCCAGCTTTATTCAGGGGAGCGTGTGGGCGCCGCGGACGCACTGGGCTGTGAGCATGGGCGGCTGCAGCTGCCGTAGGTGCAGCCCTTACGATTTGGGGTGAGGTGCGCACTCCGAACAGAGGCTCCCCCTCATAGCCTTCCATCCTTCCCTCATGGTGGCTCCCTGCCGCGCCTCGAACACACGTGTGTCGTGTGTGCGTGTGTCTCCCGCGCACCTGAGTCCCATGTGAGCAGGGTTGGCGAGGAGCCCACCCGACCCTCCCCCTCCTCTGCCCTGCGGACCCGTACACCTTTGTTTCTTTTGTTCTGGAAAACGCTTTCTTGTGGAGACGAGGCATCTCCCGGTTACCATCTATCTGCCGAGAGTCTTCGTAGAATAAAACGCTGATGAGGTTCACGCAGGCAGGGGCCAAAAGTGGTAAAGACGCACCCCGTCAGAGACCACGGCTGTGTGAGAGCCCGCAGCCCCAGTGCCCTGGCATGGGCGCCGCACACCGCAAGGCCAGCGTGGAGACAAGCACTTGTAGGTTGTATTTGGTGTGATGTTGACTTTGAGGCCCCTCCTCCCTCTTAAGCCTGCGAGGGCAGTGACTGTGATTCTTCCTGCTCAGCGTGCCTTCTCAGGCAGCCTCGCCTCCTGCACTGCACGGTTGGTCTGAGGGGAGATCACACATATTTTAGAAAAGGGACAGAAATTAGGTGCTAGCAGGGATTGTTCTCATTACTTAGTAAAGTCTGACAACATAACGTCTTTTTAGAAACATAGACCTTAGACATAAAGGTTGCTGTGGTTTTATTTTTAAACCCGACCTCATTGCCTGTGAGGGAAGCGCAGTTCTGAAGGGGGTTCCTGCCCCGCCTGTGTGTGCCCTCTGCCCAGAGGCAGCGTCTTGCTGATCGGCCCTGGCAGCAGCCTGTGCACTCTGCTTACTTATGGGCAGTCTCACCAAGGCTGGGATACGGTGACCGACCTCGGATGTGAGGTCCGGGACGGCTCCCTCCCTGGTCCTGGACAAAACCTGAGGCTCTCTGCTGATAGCACTCCACGAGTCACCGTGGCTCTTTGCCCACACGTGGTCTGCATACACAGGGCTGTCCTCCTGCTGCAGAGACATTTGTACCCGGTGCTGGCGTGGCCTTGGGTCTGCTCTCAGGTCACCCTGCAGAGTGGGGTGCAGGGGCACAGCAGGCTGGCAGCGAGGGATAGGCAGCCTCCAAAGGTTTGTTTCAGTCCAAGCAGAATGAATTTAGAATGAATTACAATCAAGTTGGCAGGATCGGGGCGCCTGGGCGGCTCAGTCGGTTGGTCATCCCTCTCTTGGTTTTGGCTCAGGTCATGATCTCAGTCACGGGGTCAAGACCCATGTTGGGCTCTCTGCTCAGTGGGGAGTCTGCTTGTCCCTCTCCTACCCCTCCCCCCCACTCACGCTTTCTCTCTCTAAAATAAATAAAACCTTTAAAAAAAAGTTAGCAGGATAAGCACTAGATTTTGTTAGATTGTTGACAATTTTCTCCTAAAATTACTTCTTTAAAATTGGAATTTTAAAATCTAAGTTTTCAGATTCTTTTTACACCATTTCACACGTCAGATTTCATCAGCCACTTCCTCGGAACCTTGCCACTGGCCGCCTGCTTCTGCACACACACAGCCCCCCTGCCGCCCCCAGCTCGGCCCCCGGCCTCCCCTTGGGTCCTACGCTGTCCCCCACGCCTCGGCCACACCACAGCCCCGTGAGATAATCCCTGTCAGTACCCTCACCCTTCGAAGGTAGAATCTGACAAGCACATCGCTGCATGACCACCACTCGGTAGGATCCGGGGCATTCTGTCAGCCCCCGACCGTGCCCGGCCCCTGCCGCTGGCACTCCCTTCCCTCTGTGTGGTTGTCTCCCAGGACGTCGTCACACACACAGTGCAGGCCGCCCACAGCCTGTCTGACTTCCAGCATTCAGCCCCTGAGGCTTGTCCGGGGGCCTGCCTTCCTGCTGTGGGGAGCATTCCCTTCCGTGGATGCACGTGGCTTACCTCGGGCCGGGTAGGCCGGGGGAAAGGACGTTTGGGTCATTTCCGGGTTTTGGTGATTTCGAACAAGGGTGATCTAAGCATTGGTGAACGGTCTTTGTGTGAACTCAGTTCACTCTTTGGGTTAAGCCCCGGGGAGTGGGACTGCTGTGAACTGGGAGCTGCCTTTCTCCCGCTCTGTGGCCGGCTGTACGTTTGTGTCCCACCTGCAGGGGGCGCGGTTCCCGTTGGTCCCCGTCCGCACACTCGGTAGCGCTGGGCCTGGCGTGTATGTCATGTGCAACCGTCATGTGCTTGTCCACATCCCTTCCTCCGTCAAGCGTCTATTCGGACTTTTGTCCACGTTAAATTGGGTTGTTATCTTATGATGGAGTTTTGAGAATTCTTCATCCGTTCTGGGTACGACCCTCTGTTGGATCTGTGTTCTGTGACACTTCTCTTTGGATGGGTTCCCTCTGACGTCCCCAGCTTACTGGCAGCCGGTGGCCCTGGCGGGACCTTCCCCCCACCCCTGCTCCCTGTGACTGCTGTGGCCGATGACTCCCCTCCTGCTTCACGTGCCTTGCTCCCTGTCCTGATAGCACACTTCTCTGAGTGTGGATGGACAGACTTAATGAGGTGCACAGCTCACTGCTGCGGGGCCCGTGTCCTGTCCAGTCTGGGCTTGGTCCAAACACTGGGCCAGAGTCTTACAGAGCCCCGTGTCTGCTTTGCTGAGAAAACAAGGTGCACGGAGCATAGACCATCATCTGTCATCACGCTGTTTGCCATTTGACAAACACAAGTTTCCTGTTCCAAAATGGAAATGAAGGTCCACTTTTAAAACCCAGCTATGAAAAAAAAACAAAAAAAAAAACCCAGCTATGTGTTGGGAAGATTGGAAGGGCGTCATTTACTGTCCCCGAGTCAGTCATTCCCTGAACAAAGTGCTCTTCTGGGGCAGAAGGGCAAGTTCATGCTTGGAGAGGATCTGCCCATCTGTTGCTGCCCGAACCGCCAGCAGCAGGATCAGGTGGTGACAGTGGGTTCCGGAGTCCTTTCTGCTGGAAATTAGCCTCCTGTTTAAAACTGTTTTCCTTGGTGATGCTTGAGTGAACAGGGAAGCACCTCTTCATAATGATGAATGGCTTGCCAGATCTGACGCAAGAGAATAGAGTTGGTTTTTTTCCCCCCATTTTAGGAATCAGTGGAGTTCCGTTTGAATAACTACCATTGTAACGTAGATCGCTTTCTTATGCCCTTCAGGGTTTTCATGTTCTCTTGAGAGCTCAGACCTGCTCTGCTTGTCTGTTTCATCCAAGTATTTGGAGAGGTGGAAGTTGTCAGAAAAGGTACATTGTGCAGAGGAGAGATGGGGGGGCGGGTTTGCTCTGGGGGGACCAAATGAGGGTCTGTGGCATGGAATATTACCCACTTGAGCTAGCCTCAGGTACTAGGGAGCAGGGTAGCTCCCTGTTTGGTGCTATAGGAGAAGGGTGGGTTCCCACTGCTCAGAGGCTGCAGGCAAATCTGGTTTTCCCCTTATCAAGCGGTGAGGCACCCAGGCCCAAAGGGGGTAGCAGCTTGTCAGGACCTGCACCCAGCTGAGCCAGGTTCAGGTTCACACAGGTTCACGCAGCTTCAGGTTCTCCTTGGTGACCCTCCCTTACACTCTTCCCGATGTCCCCTGCCCCCTGCACTGAGGGGTCTCCATTTCTTCAAGGAGGTCAGTCTCTGGTCGTTTCTGAGATACCTCTGCTTTGCAAACACCTGGAGCCTTGTGCAGAACACCCAGTGTCATCCTGCCTATTTGTGGTGGTTTATAAACACATAGTACAGGGTAGGTCTGCCGTCTGAGTTAGATAAACTTGGTAAAAACAAAACTGATCATCTGTTTTTCTGGTTGCAATTAAATTACACTTTGTCTAACTGTTCAAAAACCAAGCTGATTTAATGTTCCATATGCTTCTGGCCCAGCTTAGTCAGGGTTTGGTATTGACCTCTCCTTGAGTTAAAACTCCAGTATGGTGGGGGGCACTCTGCCCATTTGCAGACCACATCCCTCCCCTGGAATCGGGACTCATGTCAGGCTGCTGCTGTCTGCACCCGGGATGTCACCCCCAGGCCCGGCAACCCCCAGGCGGGGCTCACGCTCCTCATGACGGCACGGGCTGTGCAGAGCTCTTTCGGGGGGTTCAGGCCTGCCTCATGGGCACCCGCCCAGATCAGTGATAAAGCCCCAGCTGAGCTGATCGGGAAAAATGACCTTGGGAGGAATCGGGCACCTGAGGGGAAGACAAAGCTCACCTGGGCTTTGAGTGAGGGTTTGAACTCTGACCCTCAGACCTGAGAGGTCAGTTCCCAGAGCCTCTCTGCCTCCTGTGTATACAGACTTGAGTTTTGACACCCACCTGGCTTTGACTTTCCTTCCCAACCCACCTTTACAAACGGCATCCCCTCCTTAGGTGATGCAGGATTGTCATGTTTCTCCTGACCTTCACCGTTGGTTTCTACCAAAGTTAAGCAATTTTTTGTTGCCATCGTATTTAATTTTGTTTCAATTATGAAAACAAATTGGCTTTACGAGTATTTGCGTCTGGTCTGCTTGTTGTAAGGTTGAGCAAGCCTCGTAACCGCAGCTGGTTCTGTGGGGCTGAGCCAGTACACCAAGCCATCTGCCCGCCCCTCTGCTGGCTTGTCCACTTGAGCTGTCTTTGCATGCTTGCTGCTTGCGGAAGTACTGCAATTATGTTTTCAAAGAAAAGATTAGTAGATAGTGGCTGAGTTGTAGTCTGGACTCTGGACATAAGAAGTTAATCA